CACTTTATGATTCCAGTTCCATTGTAGCCATTCAAGCATATCAGCCCCGAAGAAGATTTCCCTTTTTGAAGGAGGCAGAATAGCAGCCCATATCTCTTTGATGATGAGACAATCCCTAACAACATGTAATAAGGTTTCTGCATGTTCATTGTAGATGGGGCATCGAGGATCCCCATGGGACCAGTAAGAACTCCATGCTTTAGTAGGTAATCTGTTATGGGCTAACTTCCATTGAAAAAATTTCATGCACTGATGAGGACCTTTCCAACCCAACAGTTTTCTCCAGAATGCATATGGCAAGTGGGCATCATCTGTCGTGGCCCCTAATAGAGATGTATAATAATTTTTTACCGTGACCCCAGCCATATTTTCAAGTCTTCCAACCCGATGATCCGATCCATCCTCCAAAGCAGGAGGCAAGTAACTCCGAATTTGCAGTATAGTATTTTCAGGTAACCAAGTCTGCAGTAGCTCAATTTTCCAATTACCGTTGTCATCCAAATAATCATACACACATTTGTGAACTTCTTCTTCCGAGTCTGGATTAATGATTCCGTTAATCAAGGGTTGAAGTCTCATCGCCCATCTATCCCTCCAGAAGGAAACCAAAGTACCATCTCCAGTCTCCTAGATGACCTTGCTTTTCAAAAATAGCCAAACCCGACAGAGAGCAATGAGAGGATCTATTCCTATAAGACTTATCCCTTCGTGCAATATTAATTATTAATTACTAATTATTAGGCAAATGATGTTTTTTTAACATCTCAAACTGTTGAATTGAAATTTGGATGAATCAAGCAATGTAGATTCATATTTTAGTACACATTTATCTCTTTTATATTATTTAAATTTTGATATAAGTGCCTTTTAAGTATTAAATTTATAGTTAATTTTATTATAAATATCATATAAAAAGAATAAAAAAATTATAAATAGATAAAAAAAATTGACTTAAAATATTTTAAAATAATAATTTAAATAAATAAAATTCTTATTATATCTTTAATATATATATATATATATATATATTTATTTATATCCATAGAATTATATATATAAAGTATATTTTCATTATTATATTATATTTTATAATTATAATTATAAAAATTAACCCGCATATAAGCCCTAACCCAACCTATTATAAGGCTTTGAAGGTTAGGGTTAGAAAAGTACTTACCACAAAGTGAGCTTAGTGAATTAAGACCAAATATAGAATTTTTATATATCTAGTTTAGTTTGACACCTTTACTAGCTATTTTAGGCAAAAATAAATAAATATTATTTTTTATAAAAAAAAAATTACGGAAACAAGACCATTTATAGACACCTGGTTATCTATGCACATGTTTGAATTTTCATATATCTAGTTTTAACTAAAAAATGTTATAAACAAGAGTACAAGACCATTTATAGAGACCTGTTTATCTTTCAAATTAAAATTTTAAAATTTATGATTCAGTCTTCTATTTTTGAGCAATATTTTGGTGTCTTTTTTATTTACATTCATATATACAATATAATACTTACATGTAAGATGTATAAATAGAGAAGAGACGAATAAAAAAAATTTCGCTGAGAGTCTTTACTTTAATTTGCTAGATTTTATTCAAGTGGTGCTCTCATGCGATTCACGTTTCCATGTTTAGAAAAGCAACTAATTATCAATTATAAGTCCCTACTTCTGCCATAATGATGTTGGATGAGACATATCACCAAAAGCTAAAATGTAAAGAAGAAAAGAAAGAAAGAAAGTTAATTGCATGTCACAAAAAACAAATTAAAAGCCTTATATATAACAACATACACTGCAACCATGTGTTTATACGTATGATTGGAACTTAATAACAAATCTCAGTCTAAGAAACCGAGTGTTATCTGTGTATGTTTACGTGAAGATGGAGACACCATTATTGATAAAAAAAAGTTTACTTTAGAGCATGACTACTTGCCAGTGAAAAGCTTCAAGGATGTGAAATTGATTTTCTGGACAGAGACGGTGAAAATATGGAGCATAGCATGCCCAGTGGCACTGTGCTCACTGTTTCAGTTCCTCACAGTCTCTTCAACTTCAGTTTATGCTGGTCATCTTGGAGACATTGAGCTCTCTTCTTTCTCTGTTTACCATGGTGTCATTGGTTCCATCTATTTTTACTTGCTGGTTAGCACCTCTCTCATTTATCCAAAACTTGGTCTTTTCTCTTTATTTCTTATCACAGAATAATGGAGTTACCAAATTCAAAATAAGTAATTTTACTGTCTTTATGCCCAAAGTACAACTAACATTTGACATGAAGGGTAAAAACTCACTCCACATGAAATCCCGAATTCTTGAGGGTAGGAGTAAAGAGATTTTCTGTAGTTTTACCCTTATAGTTTTGCAATAAGACTGTTCTTTGGATTTGAACTAGTGTACTTTGGGTCATCAAAATTCAAAAGCACCTTTACCACAGCTCACCCTCTTAAACCCACTTTCCATGAAATCCCAATTTATTAGGGTAGATAGATGAGGAAAATACTTGTATAAATCCTTAGTCATGCATTATTTACAAAGAGATACTATTTTCTAGACTCGAATTTGTAACCTTTCTATCATACAGGAATAGCATTGCCTCTTGCATGAAGGAATATAAATGTAGTTTTTTTTTCATATGTGAATTGGTGTTGTTTTTATCTGATCTAACTTTTATGTACAAAATTGCAGTTTGGTATGTCAAGTGCACTAGCCACACTTTGTGGGCAAGCTTTTGGTGCAGGGAAAATTCAATCTACTTGTATATATGTTCAAAGGTCATGGATTGTACTAGTTGTCACTTGTATAATCCTCTTGCCTATTTATATATATGCCACACCAATCTTACATTTGCTTGGCCAAGAAAAAGAAATAGCTGATCTTGCTCGCAAATATTCAATACAAGCAATTCCCTATATGTTTTCCTTTGCTATCAATTTTCCCATCCAGAGGTTTCTTCAGGCTCAGAGCAAGGTTAAAGTTATCATGTGCATATCATTTGTGTCTTTGCTCATACACAATGGGTTTCTTTACATCTTCATATATGTACTTGGTTGGGGTACAACTGGCTTAGCCATGGCAAATAATATCAACAGGGTGGGGTTTTGTTGTGGCTCTTGTTATATATGCTGTTGGTTGGTGCAAAGAAGGGTGGACAGGGTTTTCTTGGATGGCGTTTAAGGATTTGTGGGCTTTTACTAAGTTAAGTCTTGCATCATCTGTGATGACTTGCTTAGAGCAATGGTATGTTATTTGCATTATGCTCCTTGCTGGTCGACTAGACAATCTTGTTATTGCTGTTGGTTCCTATTCCATTTGGTGAGATAAACAATCTGGTCTCATTTGCAACTTTTTAGCTTCGTTGAGTATAGGAATAGATCATTCTATGTCTCATTTTAATATGATCATGTTATATGAAGAATCTCGTTTATTCATTGTTCTAGACCCTTTATGCAGGTCCCACATCTTCTATAAAAAATAGTCTAATATAAGTGATAAGCTTAAGAGATACCACCTATCATCTTATCTCCCAACAGTCTATATTAGCAAATTATCCTATATGTACATTGACTACACATGAATGAATGCCTTTTGGTGCTCCCTAGTGTCTACAACATGAACATAAACCACACATTAATCCCGAACCAAATTATTTTAATACGAATTTATTTGAATTCAGTGAGTTCTACAACCTCTTTGATCAAAGATGGGTTTTCATCCCTTTAATTTTCTTATTTTGTATTCAATTCTCGATATTTACTAATAGAAATATTTTAGTGCTGCAAGGGAGTCCCAACAGGAGTCCCAACAGCATCGAGTGTTGCTACCTCCCTAGGACACACTCACATAACTTCTTTTTTTTTTAGATAAATGTCACAACCCCTCTTGCAGCACTCATACAATTATGCTAAGTGGCATAATTTCATTACGCTAGGCAATTCTGTTACCATAAAATTTCGGAAAGCTATAACTTTTTTACTCAAGAATCCAAATCAAAAGATTTTTTTTATGTCACATAACTTTTCGAGATCTATGCAATGACACATTATTTAGCATATTTTATCTCTTACAAATATAATTCGACTTTGTAACAATAATACAACAAATGTAACAACTTGTAATACATCTAAGATACAAAATACAAAGTAATAAATCTAAGATACAACTAGGGTGTTCACAGTCTAGATTGATCTAATCCCTTCGCTTGATCTGTAATCATCAATTCAATATAGATTTTTTTTTCAAATATGTTTCAATCCAATCCAATTTCCCTGTGCTTGATCTGTAATCATCAATTCAATATAGATTTTTTTTTCAAATATGTTCCAATTCAATCCAATTTTATTCGATTTGGACTGAATCAGTTTTTACTTTTTTGAAAAGTCTAAAATTAGTATTATGATTATTGTACAAATAATATATATATATATATATATATATATATATATATATATATATTATGAAAAATGTTACAACCATATCTTAACTAAATTGATATAAATTTATACTTAGAACCTATTTTTATTTACAACTTTTTATATAACCGTAAATGAGTTTAATTTGTAAAAACAATAACCGTTGATTAACAAAAATCAACGGTTAAGATATAGTTGTAAAAAGTTATAAACAAAAATAAATTATAAATATAATCTTCATATTTTACATTTATCGACAGTATAAAATTTGTATAATGATTTTTGTGCAATCTAAAAGAATATGTAAACAATAATCTAATTTTCAATATAATACACAAAAAGTTGAATTACCATCTTTTACCTCACACAAAATTGCCTTATTTTCATCCTATAGAGGAGTTACTATAGGATAATAACTCATGCAATAAAAATGTTATTGGTTAATAGAGTCTTAATTTAAAATTTTGCTATATGATTTTTGAATTATGATTGAGAAAAAAACCCAATTAAGTAGGAGATAAGGTTGAGAAATCTCATTAAATTGATTTAAATTGAATCAATTTTCACCTGCGAAACCAAAAATCGATAAATTAACACTCCAACGTATAACACATTCCCGTCAAAAGCTTTGCATCACTACACTGGGGCAAATGTAACAACTTGTAATACATCTAAGATACAAAGTATCAACACATTCCCGTCAAAAGCTTCTAACGAATAAATACTACCAAAACACTAATCGAAATTCCAGTATTCTTTAAAAGACAAAATGCATGGAACGATTCTTAAATCGCTGAAATTACCAGTACATCCATCATGGATAGCAATCTACTCAGCCACTTTTTTCTTCTTAGGCAACCTGTATCCACCGGTTACACAAGCATGATCACGCTCAAATGGTTCGAGGGTGACTTGCTCCTCAGGTTTAAATTGATCTGCCTTCAGCTTGTTGACTTCACTAGCAAAAACTGACTCCGCAGGGACTGTTGAGTCTATGCAGTTAGCCTAACAAATAAATTCGGTGAGCAAGATTTAGCACATCAACTGTAATAACCTGGCTACAAGCCATTACTTTACAACTTGACTTACCTTTTACAAAAAGGAAGAATGAATAAATAAATTTAAACTTCTAATGAAAATTTACCCTTTTTCCAAACATACGGCGAAAAGTAATATAAACCAAAAGAAGTCTCATAAAAACATGATTAGATATCCGAACAAACCTTGATTGAAATAACAAAATGACCCCCTTCTTTGAGATAATATGAAGCATTGAGCCCTAGAATCCTTGCCTGCAATGATCACCAAAATAGCATAAACGAAACTGATCCTTAAATTAATTGAAGTTTAAACCTACTAGTTGGTTGACAGTGTGTACAGGACATTTTTCTTCCAAGGGAGTACATTTGTAGCAATTGTAGAAAAGAAATCCACAAACACAAGAATTGAGCAATGCATATTCCATATTACATCCAATAAAGAAAGGAAAATAAAAGTTTTATTTCCTATTGATACAGGATAGGGAAACACAACAACATAGCAGGTAACTCATTGCTCAATAACGGTCATCAATTTGAAAAGTAAAGTAATAAAACAATATACATAAAGGAAAGAAATTGATGTGCATCAGAAACTCGGGTCTGCATCATCCAAGATGTCTTGAAGGGGAATCCGAGTAACTCATCATATGCACAGATTATCCGATATGGAACAGAGTATACATTCAAGTGAAAAAAAAAAGTAATATACAAAGAAAATAAGCATTGAATTGAAAAATATAAAAGTTTAAAGAAACTAAAAACAAAACATCACAGATGAACTTTATACATAGCTGAAAGTTGAGAATATTTTTTAATCAAGTTATATAATATATATTACAAAAATTGCGGTGCTACAATCAAATGGCAACAGTAACTACAAAAGGAGATAGGCATGGAAACTATATACACTAGACAGCGCATCAAGATGACTGCAAGATATTTGAAACATTATATAAATAGGAAAGAAGAAATAGCAGAATAGCGCCAGTTAAGTTGAAAATAAAAACAGTCAAATGTAAAAGCCAAGGAACAACAAAAGCATGCCTTGATACTGAAGAGCTAAAAGAAAAAAAAATGAAAAATCAAATGAACAATACATATACAGCAATACAGATTGGAGCACATCAATGTTTTGGAGCAATAGCAAAAATGGGCTTCAAAGACATGGGCCTGCACCATCTTCAAAAGGTATCATGTATAACTATTTTTAAGATGGATTTGAAAGAAACTTAAACAAGACCTGATCAGGCTGAGCAACATCAGAAAATATCACATCTACCATGCCAACCAACATCCTGTACTTGGCTGGATGTCTAGCATCTTCAATAATGGGTATAATATTAGTCCGCTTCTTAGCCATGTTAACCAAGTCACGGCCACTTCTATGAGAGAACTCTACCGCATAGACAACTCCTGTCTACATAAAGAGAACAGCATAGTCTATTTAGCCATTTAAATCATACATGTAAAGATGATGCACAATTGAATTAGTACTTACTGGGCCAACAATGTCAGACACATGACTGACAGTTGTTCCAGAAGCGGCTCCAAGGTAAAGGACTCTGGCTCCAGGTTTCTTTATTATACAAAAGAAATACAAAAAAAAAATATAGATGTCAAGATACTGCAGTTGGAGCTAAATACCAAGGCACGGCTAGACAAAAGAAATACAAAAAAAAATGTAGATGTCAATATACTGCAGTTAAAGCTAAATACCAAGGCACGGCCAAATATTATGAGACAATGAAACTTCTTACAATCCAAATATTATCAACACCACCAAGGATGGCAGCAGCCAACTTGGAGCGAAAAGGGTTCCAAATCCTGTACTCATCTTTTGCACCTTCCTCATTCTGCAGAATGAAACAGAATATAAATTATAAATAAAACAAAAAAGAACTATAAATTAACAAAGTAATTGCAAAAAAATGCAAGACTTCTGGCAAGCTTTGATCATTCATCACAGAATTTGATATTATTATTGTCATAAATCATGATTGAAGATCTAGACCATTAGAAAATAAAATTTATTTCAACTAGAGAAAACATTAATAGATCGTATAACATGTACCATACAAAATGAGAGATTCAATACAGCCAAACAATAGGCTACACGTACAAATCTAAATAAAAACCAACCGAGCCAAAAACACAACTTCATTACTATTTATTTTCAAGCATGCTTAAACATAACGGAGCCTTTTAATACGTACTAAAAGATAATAATGATTAAACTAACAAAACATAAAAATGAGAGAAATAACCTGCACAGTTATCCTTTTCTCATTGTAAACAGCTTCACCAGGAACCAGATTTTTAGTAACAAGGGCATCTTCTTTACCCTTGGCAATGAAGATACCTTCATGTCTATGAGGCTCGACCACAACCCTGCTCCCTCCCTTCATTCCACCCCTGCCACCTCCACGACCACCCCTGCCTCCTCTAGGAGCGCCCCTCCCTCCTCCTCTACCACCACCTCGAGCTTTGAATGGGGTACCTCTATCTCCTCCTCTTCCTCCACCACCTCTCCCTCTACCTCTATCACCCCTGCCCCTGAAACCCCCACCAGCACCACCACGACCTGCACAAATACAAACATGGTTATAAAACAAAAAACAAAAGACGCAGCTATGCCACCACATTTATCTACCAAAAAAAAGTGAAATTTTCAAACACTGCACAAGGTTTGAGAAAAACTTGTAAAAATCATTTTTTTGAACATCTAAAGATCTACAACTTTGAAGATATTCAAATCCATTAAATCATTCCTAAGATACTCATACTTGTAAATCCTCCTGCATCACACACCCACTCCCAATTTTGTTCGCAACACACGAACCTTAATTTATAAAATTTCCAAAAAAAAATTCTGGTTCAGGCTTTCTTAATCTCTGTCTGTTTATTGGACCGACTTATACTATCTTCAATTTTTTATTCTTTGGTACATTTTGTTTATCTTTAGTGTGTAATTTCTTAAATGAAAAGAAGCACGCTATTAACAATGGAGAGGACGAAGAAGATTCAAACAACAACAGAACTTTATTGCATATTCAGAAAAAAAAGATAGTGAATCCATTTTTCACCAACTGCTTTAGAAACCCATATTACAAAATAAAAAAAGGGCAGAGAGAATAGAAGAAAAAATTTCAAATTCCAGCAACTTTGTCACTCAAATTTTCCTCAAAAAATCAAAAGATTGAGCGCCATATACTGAAACATGACAGATAAATTTCTTCGATTTACCTCGAGGAGGAGCCATTTCGAATCTTCTAGAGCTTGCAAAGTGCGAACCGTCACAGAGGGTTGCAACGTTTTATAGAAATGCTACGAATTAAAGGGTAGAGAAATGAGCATTTTATAGGTAAAAACTAGGGTTTAGGATTAGGGTTTTTCGAAATATCAGCAGCGAGTACAATAACTGGTCTGGGAAGTTATCCATTAACCCGAGACCAAACAAAAAAAAGCCCAATAGACAATGGATCAGCAGAGTAAGGACGAGATCCACAGCACTTGTAGTTGTATTGTTATTATCATTATTTAATGAAAATTGGGCCATGGACACTGCCGATAAAAACAAACGATACATATTAAGGTATTGGTGCATTAAAAAAAATTTTATTAATCTCATGTTAAAGGAGATAAGTTATCTCATATCATAGAGATATATTTGTGGGCTCCACCACTTGAAAAATAAAAAGAAAAGAAAAATGTGGCACAATTATCGAAGGATGTGTAGAAGAAAAAGTTATCACATGTAACATAAGAGTAGTTTTTCCCTTAAAAAAAATGTTAGGGAAGTTTGAGAACTCCATATGTTTTATTCCAAAATTATTGAACTTTTATATCTTTTTTTAATTATTATTTTTTGGTTTCCCAAGGTATCCTCCAGCCGACAGCCGAAGACCGAAGACTAATTATTTCGAGGCGGGAAATCACATTAAGTGGGTAAACCTCTCCGAACAAAGCATTTTTCATACGCACGGCCAGGTATCTAACCCGCATGCTTAAGGAACCCATGTTATCTACCAACTTGTGCTGGGCTTTGTTGGTTCTTTTTAATTATTTATCTCTCATGACATTCTTTCCATCCAAGTTCATTATTAATGACAATAAATATTGGGCTAGATTGTCTATTTTGCCCCAATTGACATGTAAAATGCAGATTAGAAAAGTGATTAAAAAAGAAAAGTGCAAGAAGATAAGTGACAAAATATTAAATCATTCGAATGAACAAGCTAACGAGATATATGACTAATGCAAATAAAAGATTTTTTTTCAACATGCGCTATAATTTGTTGCCCAAGAAAAAAGTTTGAATGTTGTGGAGGAAAAATAGAATTAAGATGAACATCATTATGTTTTTGGACATTTTTATGATTTACTTAATTTGGGACTAAACAGTGTAAAGTTCTTACTTATTTTTTGTAAAATATAGACTTATGTGTTATCGGTGCTCTATTTCTATTATTTTAATAAAAGCAACATTGCCTAAGTCCCATATTACTTTATCATTTATAGACTACCAACCCTGAGAGAAGGCCCATAGTCGGGAACAACCAACCCTCACCACTAAAGTAGCATCATCAGCGTCTATGCTCATGTATTTCCCGTTCAAGAATTTTACCCATGGAGAATCTACTTCATCATGGAACATCCACGCCAACTTTGAGAGGAACGCATCATTCATTAGTTTTAGGCACTTCAAGCCCAACCCACCAAACTCCTTAGGTAAAGTTAAAGTATCACATCCAATCGCATGATGCCGACGTGATGTCTCTGTTTCTCCCCAAATAAATCTCCGCAGAATCTTTTCAATGTCCTCACATATGGTCACAGGGAGCTTGCCATGCTGCATATTTAGTAAGTAATCTAGGATAAAACAGATTGGGATAGTGTAATTCTACCTGCTTATGATAACGTTTGTTGCTGCCAACCACCCATTTTCGATTTAATATTGTCTATAATATGCTCATAGTGTTGTTTAGTTGCGCAACCACGAATCATCCAAGCACCCAAGTACCTCCCAACATTACGCATCCATTTGAAGCCGCGTACGCCTCTCAATAATATCTCTAACTAGCTTCTCTGGCGTGTTTTTGGAGAAGAAAACACTAGTCTTTTGGATACTCAATTTCAAACCTGATATCTCCTCAGACAGGTTAATGCATTTCAACACCGTATCCATCTGGTAAATCGATGCTTCCACAAATAGCATAAGGTTGTCAGCAAACATAAGGTGTGAGTTAGGGGACCAAATCTACCTACCTCGATAGGATACCAAAGACTCGCAGTTGTATTAATTATATGACTCAGTTTCTCCATTGCCAACACAAATAGGTAATGCGACAATGGATCACCTTGTCAAACACCCCTAGATGGATTAAAATCTTCCGTCTGACCACCATTCACAGCACATTGATTGAGGAAAAGCTAACTATAGCCATAAGAATCTAGAAACGTGCTCCAGAAGATGGATTTCCTAAAAGATATTTTTTAAGAAATTCCAATTCACCTAGTCATAAGCTTTCTTCAAATCCACCTTGATTGCCATAAAAGGACGCTTGTTGTGCATCTTGTGTATATTGTGAATTAACTCTTACGTAATTATGATATTATCATGAATCTGTCTCTTTAGAACAAAACTCACTTGGCAAGGAGATATGGGCCGCTTTATGATGGGTTTGAGCCTATAAACTAGGAGCTTGCTAAGTAAACTTGTATAGAACCGAGCAAAGAAAGATTGTTCAAAATTAACTCATCATAGAAAGGTATGTTTGCTTCATTATTATACCAGTAAAGTGGAATTGAGATGTCGGATGGGCTTAGGCTGCTGCCAATCCTCACATATATTAGAGCATATATGATCTTTTAACATGTCCTAGTTTCTTTGAAAGAAGATGGTTGGGTACATATCCCTCCCCAGTGCCTTATAAGATCCTATATTAAATAAGCAGTGTCTGATTTCTAAAGCAGAGGGAGGCCGAGCAAGCATATTAGATCGATTACACAAGAACAGGCCACATGCTTCCCAAAGAGACCCATCTTTTGTTGATAACATCTTCCTGGAACAGATTATTAAAGAATGAGCATGATAACTCCCGAAGCCGTTGAGGATCATCTCCCCAACTATTAGTGCCACTTCTGCCTAGATTTATGAAACCATAGTCGTTCCTCTATATCAAGAACCATATTAAGCTCCTCTTGAAAATCTTCCTTTAACTGGCGTAAAAGCGCAGATTCATGTTGTAAAAGTTGAGCTGCAACCCCTTAAGCCTATTCAGCAACTTCGTCTTCTTAAGGAAGATGTTATCGTAGACCTTCTTATTCCACTGTCGCAAGGGTTGAAAGAGATCCCCCAACATTTGGTTAATTTGTAGGTCCTATTTTCATACTATTTCCATAATAAGCTAAGGAAATTATGAGTGGTTCAGACAATCTATCATAAACCAAAATGGTCTAAGCACCCAACTACTCGGCTGACTAGCAATACAAAGAAGCATTGGGTGATGATCAGAGCAGGTATATACCAGATTACTAACATCCATCCACTGAAATTCTAATCTTCAGGCTACATTACATACTCGATCAAGTTTTTTGTAAACACCAGGGAGGTTAGGCCATTTAGGTCTTTTTCACGTGTAGAAAACACAAGAGCTCGACAAGCCATCCAAACTCCAGCCCTCCAACCGAGCTTTAAATATGTAACATTTCGCAGGGTCCTGAGGGTTACCTCTCTTCTTCTCGAAAATACTTGCTATCTCATTAAAGTCCCTCGCCACTAACTAGGGCTCATCCGTTTTTCGTTGTTACAGATCCTCCCAAAGGGATTATAGAATGTGCTTCTTAGGACTAGCATAAACTGAAGTCAAATCATACTTTCGCATGTTGAACCATAGGTTATAAGGCTAAGGCATTGAAGTTTTGATGATAACAAATAACCAACTATCTCAACATGGATGAACAACATTAAAGGTAGTGCAACAAATCCCAAATGAAGTTATAAGATTAAAGAAAAATGCAAAATTGAAGGAAATACTCAAATTGACAAAGTCAACTACAAAGTCAACTACAAAGTCAAAGTTCTAAGCTATTCAAAGACTCTAAATACACAAAGCTTGAAGACAAGGGAAGACAAGACTCTAATTGACACTTTCTGTTTGTAATATTAGTTTTGAGTCTTAGAAATGTTGAGATTGAGTTTATTGAGCTATATTTCTTAAGGTTTGTATTTGAAAGTCATAAACTCATGCATTGATGAACACATATACTTGATTTATGCATACAAGCCTCATACACATGAAACACTGTTAAATTGATATTAAAACATTCAATCATGTCTTAGAAGTCATTAGAAATCATTTGGATCAAAAATGGCAAAAATAGGCTTGTTGTCATTGTTTATATCAAGATATTGCATTGTTCATATCGGGATATTGTACTGTTCGTATCCGGATATTGCACTATTCATATCTAAATATTAGCGCGACAAATATTCGGATATTGATCTGGAAACACGTGATTATTAAAATTGAGAAGTTCAACGACTATAAACGGTCATCTAACTCATTAGATTCATCTATAAACATGTTATAAGGGTTCCTAATCATGTTTTTATAGAGAAACACATCAAATTACCAAAATTCAAGAATTAAACCCTTGTTTGACTTATTTTTGCATATCTTGAGATAGAGGTCTATAATCTTAGTTTCTTCTTTTTTTTCTTTTAAAATCTTTTGTAATGGTGAATATAAAGAGGCTTCTCTATATCTGTTTGAACATGTTTTGTTGTTGTAATTTGATTGGACATAATTGGAGTGATCCTAAGGGGTTTACGTTGAGTGTGATCAAGGTTTGATCATTGATTTTGTAAAATTTCAATTGTAAATTAATTTTTCAAGTACCAGTTGGAAGCTTGATGATAGTGGAACGATCGACCTCATTTTGGATGTAGCTCTCGAGTGGTTAGAGAGTGAACTAGATAAATTTGATGTTTTCTCTTCCTTTCCCTTATCTTTTTTTATTACTGCTACTATATCTCTATTATTGGATGTTATTTGGTATGTTTTAAGTCTATTTTTGTGTTGGGGAAGGTTAGAATTTTGATATATCTCATTCTTGGTTGATTTCTTGAAAAAGGGTTTTGTTTTCTTAGTTTATTACATTATAAGTAACACACAATTCATCCCTCGCTTGTGTGATTGTTTAGTCATTCTTTTCTTTACAATTGACCTCAGAGCTTAGGTTCTCTACCATAGGTTTAACCACCTAGAGATAAATATCTATAGGAGTGACTTTCTCGAACAATGATTTCCCTTAAGAAGATAGTTCAACTAATAGGCCACCCTTTTTAATAGAAAAAATTATCCTTATTG